TTCAAGAGGACATGTAGAGCTACTCTGATGCCATTTGTAATGGCCCATAAACCACCATGGACATTATCTACTTTAGCCCATTAGATTTCCTGGTTTTCAAAATGCATAAATTTCAGTTAGGGGTGTTAGCCTTAAAAGTCACTCCAAGATTCCCTTTCTAACCAATGTGGGACTCTTGGTTGAAGAGGGATATTCTACCGATTGTATACTAGTCATTTTTCAAATGAAAAATATGTATTCCTTCCATTTTTTATAAGGAATAGACATTTTTTCATTCTTTATTAATGTTATAAAAAATTAAATATTAATTCTTTGTTATTCCTAATTTTTTATAGAAGTTTCTCAAATTTAATATGTTTTGATAATTTAACTAAGAAATAACCAATGCCACCAACCAAAGATGTAGGGATATTTAAAGGTGCACTTAATAGGAGGATAGAGAGTTCTTTTGGGCATTTTGGGTGAGTAAGAATAGAGGTGACAAAAAAACGGTGAACAAATCTTCGGTGTTGCTGTTATTGTCGAGTACGCATCACACAGCACTAGACAATAATCCTAAACCCACGCTGAATTTGCCGAAGTATAATTTGATGAATAAATCAAGGTTCAAGGACTTGTTAGCTCATTCTATCTTCGACAAGGAGGAAAGAATAAAAGGCATGGAGGCAATTTACATCGCCTGTAAATTCGTCAGACGCTGACTAAAGTTAAATGGAAAAAAAAACTTCGGTCTAAATTCTAAAATTAGAAGTATAGTTAAATCTCAAAGCATGAATTACCCAAATCCTCAATAGCAAACAGTACATAAGCAGAAACCTTTCAAATTAACGAGTCATTAAGTGTCGATAAAGAAAATGTTGGAGATGCAAAGCGATAACAGTAACAAAACCACAAAAGATTACATGGACTTAGAACAAGTAAAAAAACTGATATTTATACGTCCGTATGCCAACCATACAAAATGAAGTGATGTTTTTGGTCGCCAAACCCATCTTGCCTTTTTTTTATTGGTTCTCTGATTCCAGATCTAGCAGGCCCTTTTTCTAGCTGAGACGATCATTCTTTGTTCTTTTCCCGAAGGTCATGGATTATTTCATTTGCAAGGTCGCAGGTTTCATTTGGATGACCGAACAAATATATATTGGAGCTTGCAAAAAGAAAGCTAGTTAGATTTTTATTGCTCTTTCAAAATTAAAGAACAACTCACCAATAATATCTTGTTCAACCATATATAGTGCATAATTACCAATGTATATATATATACATATATATATATATATCTAAGGAGTTAGTGTATGATAAGTCGTCTTCTTAAACTTTTCAAAAGCCTAACATTCTAATTAATATTTTTAAAAATTAATAGTTGGATTGAGAATTTTATTTGTGTAAATTATGTATGTCAATTTTCTTTCTGAACTTTTTCTACGGGAGGGATAGGTTGCAAGCGGTGATGGTTTCTCATAAAATATATTTTCTACATTTAGTATTGGCTATTGACCATACATTCTAATGGATTCATTTCTTCCGCTATAGTTAGAAGACATTGTTTACATTCTTGCAAGAATAGAAGAATATGTTGAGCTTCTATTCATTTGGAGATTGGGGTTGATGGGGTATTAACCAAATTCCTCATGCATAGACCATATTCTTAATGGATTCATTCAAAAGTTACGGAAAGCATAAGCTTCCAGAAATTATAACTGAAGAGCTTCACAGCAGGTGAGTATTAAATGTTCATTTGGTCCTGCAACATTCGATTTTAATCATAAATAAAGCTCCATGGAGTGAAACGATTCTAAATCCATCAGTGCTATTTTTACATTTCATTTTTGTTTGTTGATTGTACTCTTATCACTTTACGTTGCTCTTGAATTCATTTCGCCCATCTTTTTTCTGTTTTAGTTGGTCTGGAGCTTCTTATCAGTTGGCTATGGTACTTATACAAAATGCAGCATTTTTTCCGTTACTTAGAAGTGGGAGTTCTCTGCTATTTGCTACTATTTTTTTTTTTTTTGGTGCTGTAATTAATAGGTGTAATTCACCGAAACTTTGGACAGATTAGTAGTTATTTAATGAAGTTTGGTTTGGTGTCCAACTAAATTTTGCTAGCATTGAGTTGAATGCACCTTTTCACCTTAAATTTTGGTAGCTTTCTGTGTTTCCAAGGTACAATTTAATATCATTTTAATAATATATGTTTGCCCTCATTTACTGATTTGGTTTAGCAAATTAACTATTTTCTTTTTAAGGCTGATTTAAATTTTGATAATGACATACGAAGGAATCTATTGGTTTTTAACCACAAGACTGAATTTTTATGGTTGGATACTTGAGTCATTGAAGACAGTTTAGGATATTCTATTTTAGAATTCACTGCTCAAATCATCTTAGCGATTTATTTATATTTGCATCTTAATGCAAAAAGGATAAATGCTGTCTTGCTCATAGTGCTAAATTTCTTGGCTGTTTTTTATGAAATGATATATAAGTCTGAGTAACAAGTATACAAAAACGAAAATAACAGATCTTACACATTCATCTTGGTTTATGAATGAAGTTAACAGGTTGCTTCTTAATTGAAATTTTATTTAAGTTCTCATCGCTTGCCATGTTACACGATGGATTGAGTGCTTTGGGTATCAGAAAGTATCATGTACCAATGTTCTTGCTTAAGAAAGTGGGTTTTTTTTCTCCATTTCCCCCCTTTCTGATAAGCAGCCCATTCAAGTTCTTAAACTCGAGTGTTTATTTTACGCAGGGAAGCATGTGCTAATTACATAGAATTATGCACAAAAAAGCATGCAAATCAACTTTGGATGGCAGAACTAACAGCTGTGAAGGCATGCTTACCAGCTGAACTCTCAGTATTGGGTACATCTGGTGTTGTACTTACAAATGAATCTTTGGAAGCACCAAAGTCTCACCTGTTGAAGAATTTTCAAAATATTTTCAAGATTTAAGTTCGAATCACAAAAAGTTGGTTCGAAGCAATTGCACAGAATGCATTTGAAAAAGTGTAATTTTAGTTCGAATCATAATTATATTATTCGAATCATTTACGTAAAACCAGAATCTGAAAAATTACGATTTTAGTTCGAATCACATTTATCTGATTTGAACCATTTACGTCAGAATAAAAGATAAAATTCACATAAGTTTCTGAAGAGAGTAGTTAACTTTGGAAGGCAAGGAAACATGTGATTTGGAGTTCAAATCAAATTAAATGACTTTTGGAAGAGTTTCCAAAAGATAAGTTTCATGAAAACTCAGTTATTATCCGTTAATAAACTGATAATAAACTGAAAAGAAGCGTCTTTTCCTAACAGACATCTTGTCCCTATAAATATGAAGTTATCTCTTCTTCTTTTTCGTCTCTTGAACCCAGAAACAAACCCTTACTATTATATAAATAAAACAGCTCCCTTTTGCACTTCGATTGCTGCAGAAATCCTTGTACAAAAACTATTGTTTTGTCGCTTTCCAGAGAACGGTTCAGTGGTTGATCTTGCTAGTGCAAAAGCAAGATCAACAAGGTATTTCATTGTATCTTACGGGCATTTCAAGTTACCCCTTTTGCATCCAAATTTGGTGGGGGCGAAATTAGCCTAAAAGTGGCATTTGCAGCACGCCTTGAAGCCATTTGCAGATTTTCTACCCTACTTTCCAACATCACCCAATAACACAACCAGCATATTTGGACTCCACGAAAGGTAGTTTTCAGGCTTTGCTTGCCTTTTCTTCTTTTTGCTAGAGAGAATATCCATAATATCCAAAGTACTCTTGTCTAATAGCTAAGAACATTACATGCAGTTAATAATCTGCCTGCATCAGATCATCACTCACCTGCAACCTACTTAGATTTAGCTTTCTTCAATTTTCACAACCACACTGCCGCCCACTTCCTCCACGCCACCACCAGATTTGTCCCCTCTCTCCTCTCCACTTCTAAAACCCCTATTTGATTCCAAGTCCGACGATCCCAGCACCACAAACACTTATGGACACCGTAGGATGTGAGAAAGCTGGAAGCATTAAAAAAATCTTCCACTAGGTGATAGTTAGGAATAATAAATGGACATGATAATTTAATTCATTTTGTTAGCATATCAACTTTTGTTCTAGATTCCTTCCAATAGACAGAAACTAAGATCTCCTTAAATTGTTTGTCAATTAGGAACAATCTTAACATAGACAATTGCTGTGGATTTGATGTTTGTGCTGCTATTCGCGGGTTTGAAACAACTTCCTTGGCACTCACTCTAACAATCAAATTCCTCTCTAAGTAACTAACGGTATGTGAAATTTTTTAATGTAAAAATCCCAAAGAAATCACTATTATTTGTCCTCAACTTCAAATCTCAAGCAACAAATTCTTAAATGCTTTCCCCTTCTTAAATTACAGGAAGAGCATGTGAGAATTTTGGAAAATCGGAAAATGCTAACACTAGAGTTACATGGAAAGAATACAAATCACTGATATATACAGTTTAGGTATGAATAATTTTTGCGTCAATCATAAGATATGAACCGCTTTTAATGCGGTATTGATTTTTTTATTTCAAAAGAAGAAACTAAAATCAAGTTCAACTTGCAGTTCATCAATTACACTTAGGCTGGCCAATATAGTCCCAGGAATTTTCAGAAAGCTCTAAAAGATATTCAATTCAAGGGTATGCATGAAGCTGTAAGAATACATTTTTCACCTTAAGATTTGTTATAAATATCTTGAGATGTAACACATTAAATATATTAGTCATTACTTTTAAATTTTAGATGCTTCAAGATTTGAGATGTAAAAGTGTGGCTGCTGGACTTAGACAAGTATGCATGCTTTCCTGAACCTTATCGGTCTAAAGGAGCATTAGATGCCTTCTACAAAGTCATGCAAGAGGTTAGTTGTTTTATGCCATTATTGCTAAGTGTTTTGCGCAAATGGGCTTTGTATTGTTCTCTGCTTTATAAAAAAATATGAGGCTAAATGTTTTTGTACCATCTATTCTAAACTCCTTTATCTATCATATATTAGTGAATTCTCTCTCTATGTTGATAAATAGATTTGAACAGCGCAATGATCAATGATTGGGAGGAAGCACTCAACTTGCTCAATTGCCTTTTTTGTAGCAGCTTCCACTTGTTTGAGTAGCTCTCCCTTTATTGGTCTAGATCAAAAGTATTCAGTGATATTTTTTCCAAGACCATAAGCACATAGATAACCATGTTTCGCTGGCCCAAGAATCTTTTCAAACATGTCATTATCATTCATTGATAACCATGCGTCCTCCTTTTTAAGCGATTTGGTCTTGGTTATTGAAGTTTTGGAGGTAGTAAATGTTATTCTTTTGAGTTAAGAGGCTTTGAAAGATTACCTGTTATTGCATAATTAACTCTGCATTCAGATTTTGTTATGTTAATTTCTAGGTGTATCTATGTGTGAATTATATGTCAATGGCATACTGCTGTTAAAGTCACCATTTGCTTCCCATTGGCTTATGTTTCTATTGGTTTATATGATATGGGAAAATTAAGCAATGCGAAGGCAGTAGGCCATTGGCATTAGCGTATCAATTGATGGATGATATTCTTGATTTCACGGGCACATCAGCTTCCTTGAGGAAGGGAAGCAAATGTGGACTTTAAAAGCAGTATGCCATTGGCATTGGCGTATCAATTGATGGATGATAATCTTGATTTCACGGGCATATTAGCTTCCTCGAGGAATGGTTCTTTATCTGACATACAACATGTGAGTCATCTATCCATGAAGTCTTAAAAATTTCTTCTTCTTCTTTTTCTTTGACAAACAACATGTAAGTCATCTATCCATGGAGTCTTAAAAATTTCTTACATACAACATGTAAGTCATCTATCCATGGAGTTTTAAAAATTTCTTACATACAACATGTAAGTCATCTATCCGTGGAGTCTTAAAATTTTTTCTTACATACAACATGTAAGTCATCTATCCGTGGAGT